AGGAGTTTTTAATTTTTTTTAGAGTGTCACATCGTTGGAGTGTTACATTAATACCTGTCACATTGAAATATCACATCATACCTATCATATTAATAAAAGGTATAGCTGTCCACAAAAACACCACCAAAATAAAAAAAAAAAATAGGACCACACGGAAAGAAACTCTCCACTAATAGGACTTAACATATTAATATAAAAAAATTGGGACTCATTGGACTACTTATTTGTAAGATGGGATTTATTAGTAAATATCTCTTTAAATTATTAGTTTAATCTATATATATATATATATATATTTAGTGCAATTTTAATAATTTATATTAAAAAAAAGTTAAACTTGATTAAATCATTACTACAAATACAGATAAAAATCACACTTTTTTTGTGTGATGTATATTTTTTAATCACACCTTTTAAGTTTTATTAAAGTGTGATCTTTGGAAGTGATTAAAAGGGGTCATTTTTATCACACTTTTTAAGTGTCATTAAAAAATGATTTTATCACATCTTTTAAATGTGATTAAAAACATTTAAATCACATTTTTTAAGTGTGATTAAAAACATTTAGATCACATCTTTTAAGTGTGATTAATAACTAATAAAACCTGTGATAAAAAAAAAATTGACATATTTGAAGAATAATCAATATTATTTTTGTACGCGTATTTAAAGAATGTAATACACACTATATACTACATTTTGAATCACAACCATATATTGAATGGAATAATGTCCTATATTTCATAAATAAAAGTTAATGTTCAAAAGTATAAACAAAGGAATTAATAAAAAAATTTTAACTGTGATTACATATATTAAAAAATGAAAAAAACTTGAAAAAACTAAGTTCTTGAATTCTTTGACCATATTTTGCATCTCTCGAGAAAATTTCTGACCTGAAAAATAAAAACACAAATTAATTCATAAATCGCTAGAAGCATATGAATAAACTTACTATTTTTGTAGAGACTGTTCTTGTCTTATAAAAGACAAGATTAGACATTTTCTCATCACACTGACTCTTCATCTCCTGTATCAATAGAGAAGGAATAACGACTTTGATTGTTACTAGTATAAAATGTCTGTATTACCATATATAAATATGACATATACATAGAATCAATAAATCAAAAATGAAAATCTTCAATGTATGGCCATATATTTTAAAGTCATAAAATCAAATATATATAGAATCAACAAATCTAAAATTATAAACCAAACATAACAAAAAGAGTCCCCCCTCTCTCTTTCATTTCTCACCAAATCACTCTAAACAGAGTGTTTCTGGTAGACAAGAACTCAACTTAACTCGACTCCATTGATTCATAATCCAACTAATTTGAAATTAAAAATAAATAAATAAAAGAAAAAAGAACTGCTATGTCATTATAACCTTGGTGAAGTTAGTATTTTTTTATTATCCACAACTGAATCCAGTTATCTAAAAACTTCAACAAGTACATTTAAAAAAAATTAAGTAAACAGAGAGAACTATTTGAATTACAACATTAGCATTTGTTATTGAATTTAATAACGGAAATCCGCCTTTTAGAATCAAATTGAGATAAGGCAAACCAACCATTATCATATCCAAATAAATAAATGATACTAATTACTATGCAAGCACATTGCTAAATGCTCAACATGGCAAAACCAATGCTGGGAGAGAAGCATATATATATATATATAATTCGTATAAAATACTTGTGGTAAATCATCTCCTTATGGTTGTATTTCTGCTCTAAATCTATGAATGCCTGTTCAAACAAAGAAACACAAAGTCAAGCTTTGTACTGATAAAAGGCTCAAGTATAAATAAGATAATGCATATACCAAGCCAAACCAAGCCTATCCTTGTGTCTCAATCAAGTGGGCTACATGAATTATTTTCTCCAATATGCTCTAATTAAGACAATGTACATAACCAAAACAATTACTTGATGCAAATTTAAGAAATACATAATTTGTACAAGAATTATCTTTGTCAATAATAGTAACAAAATCAAGGCAAATTTAAGAATTACAATATCACAATAACCTGGCCCATCTAACAGAGTTGTTTATCACGAAGACCACACTTTCCTATTCATTTTGATTATCTGCATCACAAAAGTAGAACAAGAAATAAAACCATCACTGTTTGCCAATTCTTTTATGGCTTTCCTAAATTCCCCTAGAGCCTTTTCTATTTCTTGGTTCTTCTCTTGGTAGACAAACTTTTTCTTCCAAACAACCACTTCCTTAAAAACCATATATAGGATGTAATCAATTTTGTAGGATGTAATCAATTCTGGAGACTCTAGAAGAGGAATAATTTTTTGAATTTTCTACCAATGCTCCAATTGTTTCCTAAAAGCTGTCAAGAAGCAGAACAAATTTATGTATATAAACCCAAGGTTTTACCTTTATTTTCTTTAGATATTCAAAGCAACCAAAAAGGTCATATGATTTAATTGAATTTCAGTAGTCTTTTTAATAAAGAAAAAATACAAACCAGAATGAAGGGAAATCAAGTCTGCAATCCTTTGGTAATACATCGAATAAACACTGCAATAGAAAAACACTTAGTTGACAAGAAAGGGCCATCATAAAATCAGAAACATTGCACATACTAATCTCAGTGCTAGCTTTTGCTGAAGAAGGATATAAGACAGTGCATTTTTTGTTCCAGTGCTTTGGGAGTTCTGAAGCCAAAACCTTAGTGGTTGCTGAAGGAAAATTCAAAAATTAAATTAAATTTTACCAAGTAGTTGTGAGATTCCAAGTGAACAAGGGGTGAAAAGCAAAACGCCATGTTTAACAGAAGGTATGCAAAGAATATTTTTAGATGATTGAGACAGGAAAGAAATGCATAAACTAAATATATTTTGGCAAGTTATTCCCTACAATCAAGCTTCATATGATGTAGTGATTAAATATTCAACATTAAAAGGTTTCTCTGTTTTCAAAATTAGCTCTGTTGGTTTTCTTACGAGGTAGATCAGAAAAAGTGTGACGAGAATTTTTCAAGAATGAAGGTGAACTAGTGACAGAATATCTAGAAATATGTTATAAGATTGGAATTCTGTAGAAAATTGTGTTACTCAAAGAACCATAAGCATGTATCAAATGAGCTAGAGGGAAAAAAATATGAGGAAAAAAGAAAAGGATAAAGAAGGTTTTTAACTAAAATAACAAAACTAAATAATGTTTGACATTGCTAATAAAAATTAAAATATACCAAATAAATGAGTCAACAAAGAAGCTTCAAGTCAATTGATAATAAAAACAAGGAAATTCTATCATATAAAGAAAAAAAACCTTCTTAATCCTTTTCTTAAAAATAAGGAAATTCTATCATAGTCAAAATAAATAAATAAAGAAAAAAAAAATCCAATTTCAATCATTCATATTAATAATGCAATGATTGCTGATGTGCATCATATATTTGTTATAAAAGAAACCTCCCCGAATGTAACAAGGCCACACACCATTTCAAGCATTAGCATACACTAAATGAGTATGTGTGTGATGAGAACCATCAATTTGATCCATTAATGTATATTAACTACAATGACATGATCTGAGAATTGACCAAAAATATGTAAAGAAGTATTTCTTACCTGGGAAGATGAATGACTCATATTACCCAACAGATTCAATTACCTGGATGCACAACCCAAGCAATGGAGAAATCTCTTTCTTAAGGCTATCTCGAATCATTCCATAAATCTTTTCTACAAATGCTGTAAGTTGCTGCTTGAAAAGCAAAGCTGGGTATTTGGCTTCAACTTGGTGTAAAGCTTCTGTTCCACCAGTCAGGCCACCATTTACAAAGGAAAGATTAACTCCTTGCGGAGTTCCTCGGAAACTCTGCAAATAAAAATAATAGCAAACATCTGAAATAACGAAAGGACTAAAACTTCGTTTGATGACAGAACATGGATATTCAAATGGGAGCTTTAAATTACCTGTGTCATCCTTCCAAACAGAGTAGCCGAGGATAATCGACGGCGCCCATTCTAGCGGCACCATTTGCTTTCAATGTACGCTGGAGTAGCAGCAGAAGAGATGAGGAATTAGACAACCAATAGACTAAGATGTCATTGTTATGCTGGGTCTTTAATCCAAATAATAATACTTGGTTATGAGAAGCCAATTATGACAAAAAGCGAAAACAAGACACACTAGTAGCATATAGGATTAGATTATTCAAACCTCGATAGCATGGCCTATGGTTCGAATGATTCGGTCAAACACACTAGTCTGCTCAACTTCAAAAGATCTCCACTGTAGAAGGCATTTGTAGATGATACAAGCAGCAATTGGTCTGTTCCCTGCGAAGCCTAGGTGTTGTCCAATACATCGGATAAAAAGCTCTTGATTCTCTTGCTGTTTCTCATTAAGAGATTTTTGTGGTTTGTCCTCTATTTCTGAAAGATCCCTTTGGTTTAATGAAGGGCTATGCAGATCCTAAGGCATTTTTAACAGTAATCAACAAAAATGCATGTTTAACAAAAGGCTTGATGAAAACATGAAAATTTCATAAAACATGAAAATTTACCTAAGTTGTCTTTGTATCCACAAACAAATGACCACTCTTACCACCTCTCTGCCAATAGATGAAAACATGAAAATTTCATAAAACATCCACAACATTAGTTTATGATTTGAAGAAGATTGATTTCTGGGAGAACTTGAAGAATTGATCTGGAGCGTCCTGAGAGGATCTTATTAGGTGCCATGGAGACAGCCTGCTGATGAAGGACCTTATTCTCTGATTCTATATTGGTGAGTTTCTCTTCTAACCTGATTTGAATTCCAATAATTAACTAACTACATCCAATTACCTGAAAACAGAAGCATGAATATTTTCATAGATGTAGCTAATGGCTTTGTAACAGCAGCAAATAAATTTTGTGTTGCACAAGAATACCAATATGTTGATAACTAAGCAAACATGAACTATGTTGTTATTGACACAGGAAATTTCAACAGTTCAATGCATACATGTACACCATATAACTGAGAAAATAACTAAAAAAATCAACAATCAGAAGCATTTGCTTTTTTTTTTACCAGAATTGTTTAAATCTTAACTGGGTTATGGGCAACTGGCAAAAAGCATACAAGAGGGACAAAAAAAATTTCAAGTTCAAACAGTATAAAATATGTTAATGAACTACAACATCATAGGAAAATACAAGAAATTCACTTTGCTGACAATAACTAATGATCAAATACAACAACAGGATTAGGTTGTTTGGTGAAACGTCAATTTAAAATTGCTGAAGAAGATTGGACTGTTGCTCTTTACATGCTTTCATGAATCTTATGAGAAGGAAGGCAGCATTGGGATGTAAAATAAATTGAGATCCAACAAAATGAATAGAAGATAAATAGTTGTACACAATGATTAATGACATGCTGTTGGGAACAAACAAAATAAATTAGTGTTCTCAAAGAAACCAACACAGAGATCAACAAACGGTTTCCTCAAATTTGAAATTCATGCTCACTAAGGGCAGAGTGCATGACTAACCAGACTTCAGTGTATGGAGCTAAAACCCACACAATATGAAATACAAAAGCTAGAGAGCATCTTAGGACAATGTTGGAAGCGTGAGTTCATGTGAATCAACAATGGAAAGGTTAATCGAACAAAGGATTAAGCTACTTAGTTTTGGTTACCAATCCATGATGATGGTTGTGCAGGATACAATAGTAATTATTCCTTTCAAGCAAATGATTTCCATATAATGAAAAAAAACTAGCAGCCATCATTTGTGTGTTTTGCGGTTGGTGCACATGACATAATAATCAGAAAGTTAAAAGTGGAAAAAATTGATAATAATAGTAAAATTTAAACAGTGGATCATGTACTAACATATAATATAATCACATTGCACAACCGAAAGGACAGGATTGCTTCCATTAACAATGCACAAAGCAAAAACAAAAAAAGAAAGAAAAAGGTAAATAATGCCACTGTTATGCATCATGTATAACAGATGTTTTTCAAAACTCAAAAGTTTGACATTCACACTATATCTTGTATGACTCAAGGAACCTAAAAACCAAAAAATTAAAAAAAAAAAAAAACCTCACAAAACAATTGAGTTCCTATGAACCCAAAAGCCAACACACTACATAGCAGCACTAAAAACACTAATGGTGGTTAAAAACATAGGTCGAGATTGGGGAAAAAAAAAAAAGAGTAAGAAAGTAATGAACAACGCTTCTGCTCCCATTCCTACAATAGTGTAGACGTCCCCGAACGCCCTGGGAGGGTGATCCCCCGTTCTGTTCATTTGGGCTCACTACAGTTCGGACTCTTAAATTGTCACGGTTCTAAATCTGAACCAAAGAGTCCAAATCCGGCAAATCGTTTTGAGAAAACAGATTTTTTAGAAAGAAGTGCCAAACATGGACTGCTTTGCCAGATACAGAGTCGCCACCTAAATGTAAGCTGAGATACTGTCTGTTTTCTGGTTTTTCA